TCAAAAAAATGTAATCAGAAATCAGTGATTACTTTTTTTTAATGATCTTCAAATTTCATATAATTTTGCAAACCGCAATAAAAAAAAAAATAATTACTAATTTCTAATTACTGATTTCTAATTTTTTCAACATTTTTTTTAACTTTTAGATTAGACAAAATTTGCATATCTATTATTTTGTAAAACTTTTGTTATTTTTTATAGAAATAAAAGTTGCATATTCGTAATATATTTGCAAAAATAGGAATTGCGCATTAAATATCTAATCAAATTTTTACAAATAATAAATGCGCAAATTTTGTCTAGTCTAAAAGTCAAAAAAATGTTAAAGAAATCGGAAATTAGTAATCAGAAATTAGTGATTGTTTTTTTTTATTGATCTTCAAATTTCACATAATTTTGCAAACCGCAATAATGAATTAGTTGCAACTCGTCGATTAATTGATTAGTTGCAAAAATAATTATTGAAAAAATTTTGCCGATTTGTAATACCACCCGGGTAATTCTAGATTCACCCAGGTTATGTTTTTTGATTACTATGCCTAATCCCTTATTATGAAAAAAAAATAAATGTATATGTATAACAAATTTTTTTATGCTTTTTTTTTTAATATGAATAGAGAGCATATATATTGAGAGTCAAAATATTTAGTAAATTAAAAATTCAAAGATTAAATGTTTGATTTAGTGTAGAAAATCTAATGTTCTCAATGTTCTCCGAGAACATTAATTTTCTAATTTTTTATTAATAAACATAAAAAAAAAAATTGCCTAAGAATATTAAAATCGATTTAGATTTCAAACACTGGTTTGATTAAATCAATATTTGCTTATTTCGTGGATCATTAATTACAAAATTTTTGAAAATTTTGCATAAAATATTAATTCTGACTATTATCTAATAACACGAAATTTCAGTAGTAGTAGGTATACTTTGATTCCAATTAAATAAATTATTAGGATCATATTTCTGTTTAATTTCTACTAATTTTTCAAAATATTCTCCATAATATCTGCATTGCCAATTCTCTAATGCTCTCTCAATGTAGTTTTGATAACTTTCAAAACTAGTATAATTTTTTTGAAAGACTCGAGAAAAACTTTTTAAATCTTCTATACAGGTTTCATAGTTATCCTCATCTAAGAATAATCCAATCCCCAAAAAATACATAAAATTTCTGTAAACGAATGCCATTTCATTTCGTTCAATTTCGTTGGCTTTTCCACCACCAATTAACATTGTTCTTACATTAAATACACATTTGAAATTTCTCATAAATTCCATTAAATACTCAACACCTTCATAAGATAGTCCTGTCGAGTCAATATAGAAAGATGTAATTTTAAAATGAGTCCACTTCTTCCAAACCGTATTTATATTTGCATGATACCAATCCCGTTCAACATATGATTTATTTTTAGGTTTAGTCAATTCAACAAATTCTTGTATGTGAGGTTTTGCTTCATTTAAAGAGCCTAGATAAATCCCAAAAATGTTAAATGTAATATTATTTGGATATTGAATCACTAAAATTAAATTTTGATGAATACTGTTCCCCAATTTATTCATCACTGAATATACTAATTGAGTCTGATCAAAATCATAAGTAAAATTTATACTAATTATGATTTTCGTAATAGGATAGATCTTAAAAGTTAAAGTAGTAACAATACTATAGCCTGCATTTCCAGCATCTCGAAAAGTCTAAAAAAGATCAGGATATTCTTTAGCATGATTAACTATTGTTCCATTTGCTAAGACAATTTGAGCATCAAGAATGTTATCAGATGATATTCCAAATTTTCGCATTAAATATCTATAACTCTATCGAAAAAAATTCTTATCTGTTATAGTTAAAATAGTAAAAAAAATATATGAAATTTCAAACAATACAGTACTTACACCACCCAAAATAATGCCGGCACCAAGTGTAGAACATTCACCACTTGGAAAAGCAAATACATGCTCATTCAAACTACGAAATAGTGTATCCAGAGTATTTCCTGTTTCAATTATAGCAGTTTGTGTTGCCACATCTATAATAATCTTATACAATTAAAATACAATCTCTATCTCCAATACTATAACCTTCAAGAGAATGACCACCTGATCTTGCAATAATGGTAAAATTTAACATTGCACCACATTTAATAGCACTCTGAACATCCAATGCATTTACGGATAGACAAATGCTACTGGAAAATGAACTACTCGTGTATTAAATTGCTCGAAAAGATCATCTTTATAGGCAAAATCTTTGTGATAATAAATAGAACCTTTAATATAATGATTGAGACATTTTTGAAGGGTGTCTTCTCCTGGACATTTATAATTTGGAATATATAAGAAAGCGTGAACAATTGAAGTAAAAAAAACATATCATGAATAAATAAGAAATCATTGTAACCCAATTGAGATTGTTTATCACAATAAAAGTATATATTAAAATGAACTAGACAAGATAGAATTTTTATTTATAAGGTTTAAATTTGCAAATTTATATAAATGGTTCAATATTGGCAAACTAAATATATAAGAATCTAGACTGGGAAGATTACAATTTATGATTCTTGACAGGAGCTTGGCAATTGTGAATTATTATTGTTTTCGAAATGGTTGAAATTAGATAAAAAAAAATTTTCGCGTATATATATATACTGTGTATACTCGTATACTGGATTACCTAACGCTAAGTATCAGGCCTACCGAATAATTGATTGTGAGGGCAATTAATTGCAATTTTTTGAACTCAATTAATTGATTGGCGGCGCAGCCACAATAAGTCAATTAATTGCAATTTTTAGGTGGCATAAATTATTTGCGTGACAAATAAGAATTCACTAGTGCAATTAATTAGTAAACTGTATTTGTCTCATACCATGATTCATCGCACCAAAGTGCAATTTAATTGTTTTACAATTGTTGTTTATCACAATTGTAGCCAATTTTAATTGTATAATTTAATTGCAATCAATTATTCGGTACCCCTGCTAAGTATGTATGTACGTGCGTACGTACGTAGTATATGATTTGAATTGACAATGATATATATAGAACTTGACTAGCAAAATGTTGATCTGGGAATTAATCAATTCTCCGATTGATCATTAAAATGATTAATAAATACTATTATAAGAATGATAACTATTTATCGGAGAATTCATTAATGACATTTTTCTAGCCAAGTTCTCATATGCAATTAACAATTGTATATATACAATTGACAATTGTATATTCACAATTGACAATTCAATTGACAATTGTATGATTGACAATTGCACGATTGGTTAGGGTTGCAACATATGAAGAGGATTAAATATCAAACTAAATTTACATTTTATGCTCTTTTGTTAGGTACTTGTGTTAAAAATATAAATTTAGTTCAATAATTATTTTTATAATCATCTGAAAAAATTGATTAACGATAATATTGAAATTTCAGTCAGGCATATTACCAAAAATGGAAATCGATTCTAGATCGTTCCATTGAAATTTGATTGGCTGCTTTTTGC